TATATATATATATATATATATATATATATATATATATATATATATATATATATATATATATACATATGCAAATGAAGAAACTAAAAACGATTTAAATGTAAACTCGAAAAAAATTGAGTACCATCAATTTATAGGAACTTTTATTTACCTTTAATTTTGTATAAACACCGTACGCTGACATGGACAATAATGCAGCGCTGAATATTAATATTTAAGAAGTCCATTGTTGAACGGCGATAAGATAAGTGGATTTTATTTACTTCGGTGAATTCTCTCTCATTCATGATTTAGCTGTATGAAACACAGGTTTTTTTGTGGAATTTGTGTTCATATTTGCTTGCAAATAATAAGTTTTCACACCTCATGTTCCACGATTTGTAATGAGTTTAAAAAAAATTGATGTCTGAGATGTTTTAATTCAGAGATAAATTGTGGTAAAAATAGTACTACAAAACCGTTACTAAGCGAGAGGCGAGAAAGTATGTGCTGTTTTAGCACCACTAGTTATTAAAGATGCGATTAATATGAATATTGTTTTATATAACGAGTAAAATTACAAAAATTCATGGTTTGGGGTAGGGCATGGTTTCCGAGTAGGATGCGACATCGACGCCGATATTTTCAAAATGTCGATATTTCTATAAAAGATGGAAGTTGTAAATATAGATATACAGAAAAAGTTATTTAATCATCGATGTTTTGTGCTCGATGTTTTTTTTTGTGATAAAAAATTCCCATAATCACAATTGTGTAAAATTTAAAATATGAAATAATAACTGATGATACCACAGTCTGCCTTAAACTTTAAGGAACGTGATTTGTACTACCTTCATTGAGCAGATTATCCCTTGCCCGAGATAATCCAGATGCCAAGATATTTCCCTTGTCGTTCGCAAATGGAGAAGGAGTTTTGTAACTTTATTTTCCGTTAAATTTCGATTATAAATTACGGTTACTAACGTACATTTTGTTGTGCACGAATTAAAGTTGGTGGTTACTAAAACAGCTTTAAAACATCGATGTTTCAAATATCGTAGATTTTTGGTCGATCTATTATTAATATTGCTGTTATAATTTTAAACATCGATGTTTTGTTGTCGATGTCGTATCACTATTTCCAAGCCGTGAAGAAATATTCATTCGTCAATTTGAAATATGTATTAAATATTTTGTTTATAATTCACGTACGCAATTCGCCAAACTATTTTTTATATTTTATTTTCTTTGTTAATGTACAGATATTATTTTTAAAAATTATTATGTTTAAATTAATATAGTATTGACGTCTAACTCTCTTTAAAATTAGTAAAAGTCATATTACATAATAGTTTTTTACTTTTTAATACATTTTAATTGCTTAATGTAATTCTCTCCCCACAGAAACAGGGAAGAATACATATAAATCAATGTAGAGTACTCATATAATGCATTCCTAAGTTTTCAAGGGCCTTGCTGGTTTTCTGCTTTTTCGTCCAGATGTTTCGAGTACTGTACCGACGCTTCCACATTGTCCTTCGTGAATGCTTTTCGAATGCTTCGGAGTTGAGGGTTGCTCTGTTTGATGCGCTGGCAGAACGGTCGGATCAACATCCAATAGAAGAACTCGATCACACTGAGGAGACTGATGCCCATGCACAAACCCATCAGGCCTCCCATGCTAGCTGAAATCAGAACACCTGTTAAAGCCAGTTTACCTTCCGAAATACAACAGTAGTCTCTGTAATCCGGCTTAAACCGGACCAAGATGAGAAAATGCCGGATTACTTGCCGAACGGACGAGAAGTATATTCTGAGCATGCTTTCTTGAACTCCAGTGTCCCAACCTTACCTTTTACTATATATAGTTGATAATGAATGAAAGAACCAATATAGCAATATAAATGGCATTTGAAAACTAGAAAGTATCGCTCCAGAGTTATTTGCATAGTTATAGAAACTACAGACTTCACTGGATAGTATTGCAAACAATACAGGACGATTCACTCTTCGTTGCTCCTACAGAACCAGGTGATAGAATACACTAAGTTATACAAAAGTGCAAAAGCAAATAATGTAAACCCTTTTCAAAATTAAAAAAATAATTTTTGTCACTGGTCTTTTTTTGCAAGAAAGGTAGCCCAAATATTACATTCAGTAATATTTTCCTGGTTGCTATTATAGTCTACTGATCTAACAAATATGAAAGAAGAGAAAAAAACTAATTTTATGTGTTATTTAGGATAATTTATCATATTGACATATACAGCCAAAAGACCGCACTTTCACCTACCGTGTCATGGGCTCTACAAGTTTTCAAAATGGCTCCACCTGCGTGGTAGACATCTGTACCGCACGACCTCTGTGACGCGCACAATGTTGCCCGGTTGTACTATCTTTATTTCTGCCTCCACGCTTTCAGTGCGCTGAAGAAGATCCGCACGCTCATCGACTTCGGTAGCGAAACAAGGTCTTTCATTAACCCCAGCTACAGAAACGTTGGAGGTACTTGAGTTATAAAATTTAGATACTGAACGCCTCTTACACGCTCGGGTAAGATAATGTGCTCGAGGATAAATTCATCCACAATGCCAACCGACACATTTACAGAAAATCGCGCTTGATGAGCTACACTTTGAGCTACATAGGGATTTCATTCGTCCTCACATGCAAATTGTGCAGATTAATTGTGCCAGTTATTGTAAAACACGCTTCACCTGACCAAAGAACCAAATTCATGGTTTTCGTTTCCTGGTTATGTTCTCTGTTGCGTGTCTCTTAACTTAGAAGTAACTTATAGTTTTCTTATATAAGAAATATATATACATCCTTCTATTACCATACACAATTCTGTAGGAAAACTGAAATTTCAGTTGAATTCGTAAATTTCAATTGAGTTTAACAAATTATTTGACGTAACAACAAATTACAGACGCGTGCGATGTAGCGCGCTGATTTGATTATTGATTGAATCAGATTATTGAATTATTATCATTAGTTATTGAATAGATTATCTAATAAAATCTCTCTCAAATCTTGATGACAGTTTCATGGAACTATCAACATAATATGTTCCTTCAAATCAAAAAGAAGAATAAAAAAACAGTTGAAGGGATAAGAAATCACGCGTAAACAAAACAACTACTTGTGGTCGAATTTAGAACATCCTCCCTATTTTTAAGTCGGTGAATCTAGTCACTACAGTTTATATACGAAGATGGTTACCCATACACTGCGAACTTTGTCGAATCAGTGAACTTCATCGCTCTTTGTAGGATTATAATCGGAACTCAAGTTATTGAATTTTTAACCAACACCTAATCGTTTCTACCAAAAATTAAAATCTACTTTTAATGCCATTTCCTTCAAATACCAGGGAAACCAACGTAAGTTGAAACGCGATAGATGTACATGTGGATTCCGCGGCTCAAATCCACAAATTCTCGGCTGTCCGGGAGACGCCGCGTCGTTGGCTGGGAGGCCGACGTTTCGCCTGACATGTCGCAGCCCTCCTCAGGGCAGTCAGTGCCCTCCCAGCCAACGACGCGGCGTCTCCCGGATAGCTGAGAATTTATGAAACGCGATAACTAACCACTGTCAACGTAAGCACTTCAAGTTTGTTTTGTGGTCGCAATTTGTCTACGTAGAGTAACCACAATTCTTGGTGAGGGGAAATAACTGAAAGGAAGGTAAATCTCTAAATTTCAGAATGTAACATTTTTCTTCTTTCAATTAGAGAAAGAAGTTTAACAGACCCAACCCAGCAATGATGTACCGGTTAACGTAACGGATTGTTATACCCAAGTTCGCGGGTTCAAACCCGGTCGAAGCCGTGGATTTTTAAGGGAGAAAACATCCTTCCTACGTTTTTCTTCGAAGGGGAAGTAAAGACAGCTAACCCATGTTAGTAAATTTACTTCATGTAAAATGTCCTCAGGCCTCAACAACCCTCTGAGCTAGATTCAAATCGCCTGCTTCGTCGCCCGAGTAATACCTTACTTCAGTTAGTGGGAGCGACATTTGCTTGGTCAGGCGGAAGAGCGGGCCTAATGAACCGAGTCCCGCCACGTAAAATAAGGCTTCAATTCAACAATTTAATACATTTAACAGATTACTGTAATCAATTTGTGTTATAATTATTCGTATCATTTTCGATAAAACATTGCACACCTAAGAGATTATGGGTGCGAGACATATTAGGAGAGGAAACGTGACCTCCTGGCACAAATGTCCTGATGACGAAATGCTATTTGAATATCCTTTCAGTTAATCAAATGAGATAAAAAATTGTACGTAGGTATATTACTTAGAAAGAAGTTAAAAAGTTCAATTTTTTGAGCTTAAAGACTTCAAAATCTCTGACATACTAGTATTATGATAATTCGAATTATGCGTTGGTATTTAATAAAGAATTTATGTAAGATTTCTACTGTTACAATTAAATATTTTTAAAAAAATTCTCAAATCTGACGTTTTATGACTAATTCGAGAAACTTACCTAACAAATCAGTAGTTCCGAACACTTCTACTCGTCGAATTGGGATGAATAGTGGATCTTTATAATAGACAAAAAGAATGGATCGTCTGATGTCCTCTTCATTCCTTTTCATGCATCTACGACAACAATTTTTGGTTTGTATGGTGTATTACAAAAATGTTTTTTAAAATTTGCAAAACAAATGTGAAAACATATTTAAAATAGCCATATACACATTATACATGAATGTGCTGTAAGTCAGGGATATATTTGTAGAAAAAAGTGTAAAGACATTTTAGAAATTACTTCTGAAAAATACTGTTGTTCACAATGATGATTACTGCTAAGATTGTTAGAATATTCTGAAAAAAATCACCAGAATAAACCTTACCTTCCAAAAAAGTGCTTCTTTATTTGCTGACTCATTTCCGAGGTTGACCATGTACTTTTGTACCAAATATGTGTACAACTCGGAAAGCATTTGCACGTAAGTGTATATTTCAGGGAACTATCTATTTTTCCCTGGGAGCCAGAAGGAAAAGCTGCCGTCTTATAAAGATCCACTGGAATGTATGAATGCAATAGTTTAAATCTCATGTTTTACATTTTACATGATACAATTTCTCATCATAATTCGAGTCTTGAAAAATACACTGTCTGACAAAAAAGTGATGCGTCAAGAAGTGTATGGAAGGGAATGAAACTACATATGCTGAAATACCATGCGACTTTATTGAACTGATTACAATAAGAAAGAAACTAGGCCGTTGGCAGTAACAAGTGGAAATTTGGCGCCAGGACAGTAAGGTGAGGCAGCTCCTCTGGTTGCTCTTCTGTGGTTTAGAATGATGTCAAACAGCTTTTGGATCATCTCTTGAGGCAAATTCGACCGCAATTGTTACACCTGTTCCTCCAGTTCCTGCAGGTTGGTACTGCGACGGTTCCAATGTCACCCCGCACGTATTCAATGATGGAGGAGTCCGGGGATATTGCTGGCCACAGGAGTACCTCAACACTCACTAGATAATCCGTAGATACACGTGATGTATGTGGGCGTGCATTATTTTGTTGGAATACTGTTCCAGGATGCTGTGCTATGAGGGGTGGGACGTGCGTACGCACAATGTCTGTCACGTGTCTCTGTGCCGTCAAAGTTTGCCGAAGCACTATTAGGGGTGGTTTGAACGCATATTCGACATTCGAACGCACTATGATGTCTGGGGTTACGCCTGTGTGTCTCTTCCTATTCTGAGCAGGATATGCCCTCTGAGCTTCACGCCGCCCCACTCGAACATGGAGGTTATGGTGAAGCGAGACTCATCACTAAACATGATTCGACGCCAATCGTTCTCTGCCCATGCCTCTCAAGCATAGCACCAATCCAAACGCCGACGTCAGTGGCAACGGCAACCGACGCATGGGGCGGTGGGACCCCAACACAACGGATGCAAGTCCTTGAGCCACAGTGCGGAAACTCACAATATGTTGAAGAAGCATATGTTCGTGGATGGCGGGTGCCGATGACATGGGGTTCCGCACTGCTTGGCACACCATACGACGATCCTCCCTTTCTGTGACATCTGAATGGCGCGCATGCCTAGCAATTGCAAGACCAACCAGCACGACAAACCACCCTCATGAAGGCTGCCAATGCGGCCTCTGTCAAATGCAGTCATTGGTCGAACGTGTATGCGTGGCATCGTATACGTATTACATCGTCGCACGTATATGTCGTTTTTCATTGTCTGACTCAAAGCAGTTGACATCTACGCAACTACAGGGTGGTGCGATCACGAGTGCACTCTGGTGTGCTCATTACAGATACGTGCAAATCAAATAATAATTTATTCACACATCGATGAAGAGCATGTATACCAAAACGAGATACTATTGGACCACTCCTTCTGGGAGCATCACTTTTTTGTCAGGCAGTGTAGTTTTAAACAAAACTTGTTTCAAAAATAAAATATATGGTTAAATATAAAAAATCTGTGAAAATTAATTGTTTAGATTTGAAACACATTGTTTAAATTGAAACGCTTTGGGAAAAAAGGACATCTAGAAAGCATCTTTTTTCAGATACAGTGTAAAATCTTAATAACGAAAGTTAAGTGACCTGAACTTTCTTTCCTTGTAGAGTTTTCGATATGTGGAGGGAGTGTATCAATGTCGGGTCATTACTCTTCACAAAAACCAACCAAACGTTGGTAATGACTACTTTATTAGAAGATTTTTGTCATAAAGAAGTTCAATTCAGAGAATTTCCACTCTACGTGTATTCATTAGTTATTACAAACATTCGTGATTGCTGATTTACTTTTTTACACACCACGTACGTAGTAAGAGATTGTTATGTAACGCTGAAACGATAAACGGCAATTTTTCGGTAGAAAAATTGGTATTGTAGTTCCCCAATACCGAAAAATGGATAATTCTGGTTTCTATACGTAGTAAATTACTTCCTCTAACACATTGTGTAACTACGTTTTGTTGGCCCTTGATGCCGAAAAATTGGTTTTCGGTGGGAGGCGATATTTCGAAAATTTAAAAGTTTTCTATAAAAAAGGAGCAAATGATCATCCGAAACAGTCCTACAAAATTTTCTTACAGCTTCAAATTTTTCGATGAAAATTTGCCTAGAATCGAATGATATAATTAAGTCCACCTTCATTTGTACAATTAGGGTACAGAACAATTGAGAAAATTTGAACAAAAGTTTTTAGGAGGCGATAGGTAGCTCCTACGAAGAGGTGGGATTCCACAGCATCTTTAGTTTCGTGCGTTGGAATTACAACCTACGGATAAAATAATGTGCAGATTTGGAAAATTGCTCGAAAGTTCTCTTTCAGATCTTACCTTTTGCTTTTTCTATACAGGCCTTGCTTTTCCAACCGCAGACTGGTGTGTTTGGCATCCCTGAAATAATGAATATTCTTGCATATGTTCTTTTACAGATGACGTAGGATACATTAGGCTCAGGATCCTAAGTTCCTATGATTCTGAGATGTGTAATTAATGTAACTATTATATATTATTCATAAACTTAAATCCTTTATTAATACAATTTGAGCCTTTTTCTCAATTATCTTCGTCTTCTTTGAAAATGTTCAAATATATTACGATGAACAACATTAATTATATCAACAATGAATGTGATATTGCAGGTACTTAGACTATCTTCGTTTTAGGAACAACTGCACCGCACTGATAAATTTAAATATCATAATTATTTTGCAATTATAAATTAATTATTCTCAAATTATTTTGATTAGAATAATAAAATTACTGGCTTTCTATAGAAGTTTTGGCAACCCAACACCAGCACCGTCACTAGCAAAGAAGGCGGATGTCTGAATGAAGTATCACCCTCCTAATTTTTATACTTATTGCGTGTTGTAGTTGATAAAAATGTGCGTTTGACATGCGTTTATCCTTGATGCGCAAAAAAAAAAAGTGAGTGAAATGGCAATCTCACGTTGACATTTATTATGTCGTCACGTATTACGCAGTGATAATTTTGATTGAAGGTAAGTTTAAGTACCGTATTTATATTTATATTTAAAAAAATAACTAAAGAAAAAACGTAAATATGTAAAAGAACATGATAAAACATGTTTTAATTTCATTTTCTTAAAGATAATTTTAATGTATTTTGGAGGTAATTCAGGAAATTCCATGGGTGATTAATATCCTTTAAAAAACATAAATAGATTTACAATTTTTTCATTTTCGTTTATGGTTATTAGTTTGGGAACCCAGTTTCTCTCGATACATGAGTCTCCTTAGTAAAACGTTGTGGCGATCTCATACTTAAGCTTTTAAATATAACAAAATAATCAAAATTCTAGCGAACCCCTTCAGCCGTTTGCTTAGCACTATTCATAACGTTGGTCCCTCCATACATGTTTTTTCTAATTAATGTTTTATTGTTATTTTTCTCTTAAGTGGTAGAAAGAAAGAAGTTATACATTATTTGATGGTTAATAGTCGACATTTCAGCCCTTCGTGGGGGCTAGAAAATTTCATTTCATTGTATTGTTACACATGGTTTTCCTCAGTTCTTCTACATAGTTACTCTAACACATGATTCATAAGACATACAATGTAACATCCATGTTATATATGCAATATATGTATGTATTAATATAAAATGAATTTTGTAAGAAACTAGAAATTAACATAAAAGATTAGATTATTTAATTTGTTCCGTCTTATGCATTATGTATATACTATTAATATATTAAGGTAACTGTATTGAAGATATAGAAGAGAGGAAAGCCTGTGTGCATCCATGTGTATTGAAAACTCTGTGTAACTTACAACTTGTATAATCAATTTTCCAGCCATAGTGAAGGTCCAATAATGGAGCGAAACGCCGGCAACTTACAAACAAATGATGTAGAATTTGTTTCTACCACTGATCTAAACTCAAAAATAAACAAAAAACATAATTATCTTTTAAAGTTCGAAAAATACTGTGAATACGGAATGTTTTGAGAACGAAAATACACATAATAAAAATTGAAAACGTAGAAAGTGACTCACGTGGCAAATAGAACTCAACACAGCCGCACTTCTCCAGGGTCTGGTTGGAGAGGCACTCGAGTTCGCAGTTGCGTTGCGAGTAGTACTTGAAGTACTTGAGGTAGCGCTCGTCGGGGAAGTAGCACTGGCGCTGCTGGGGCGAGTACGAGTGGCGGAGACGGGGCGCTGTTCTCATCTCGTGCGGAGTGAGCGCCAGGTGAAACACGTTCTCCAGGGAGACGTGCACGCTCTCGTGTTCCGACTGAGGGAAGTCGATGGGACTGTGCAAAATCACCTGCGTAAAAGAGGCACAGACGTTAGGTCATTTGTTCTTTCGATTAATCTTAGTTCCATTTATCCTGTTTTGGAAAGGTGAGGCATGTCGACAAGAATGCTTATATATACTTTTGTGCCTACGTATACACATGATAGTTGTAACTATCATCATGAATCTAGTAAAAGAGAGAGGGCAGTAATGTAAGAGCTCGAGAAAACGGGCGCAGATATGTACTACAAACGATATTATCTAAGGAACTAAGGAAGTGGATGGCGTTAATACGGCAACACTTTGATGGCACTGGGTTTGAACCGAGAGGGAATAAAGTGATACATTAGCAAAACGCATAAAAATCGATAAACGATTAAAAATCTGTTTTAGAGTGACCTCATTGTCTACATAATCCAAATCCACTTGTTTTAATCCAAATTTTAACTTCGTTTTATCAATAATCTTGCATTGGTTTGGAATGAGAGAAGGACGGTTTGAATCCAAAGCGAAGGAGCGTAAGTGCAAACCGACTTAATATATTTTTAATTAATGTTGAAACACTAAGCTTGATGATCGTGAGTAATGGTAAGAACATCAGACAATATGATATGTGTGATATTGGCACGTGAGAATTGATAGGTGATTGAAGAAATAATTATTTTTTCAATTCTATTTTGCTATTAGTTGCTATTTTAAAGGTACTTTTTTCACTTTTTTGTTCTATCCGCCAAATGTTGACTTTAAGTGAAAAAAATTCGAATAACATCACTAATCATCCAAAGTTGTAAGTAATCACAGGTAGTACCAAATACCGAACGCTTCGATTTTTGTTTTTCTCCAGAACAGCGGTTTCCAAATGCTATCTTGTTGTCTATCACACTGCGTTTTGTTAATACATGTAAGCGAGAGATATAGGTTTGTAGTGTACCTTGAATCCATGACCCATGAGGTTGCAGAGAGAATGTAATTCTTTTGTTTTCGTGTGAAGGAGCAGCCAGAGTCCTGCGTTTCTTCCTAAACCTGATGCGGTATGTGGGTAGCAGTTATCGCTGCTTTTTTGGTATCCATTTACAGGATCCCAAGTAACATTAGTCTTTGGTGAACTGATATTCTTGTTACGATTGGCTTGAAACCTTGACAATGAACAATTTTTGTATTCAAAACAATTATAAAATCTAAACAACTTGATTGATAACAATTTATCTCTTTATTAATGATTATTGTTTTGTATACATTTAAATTACAGAGTTGCCAATTTATCAACTGTAGGCGTGTATTTAGTGGTACATGCTAATGATTTCACGATTAAAAAACCGATGGTTTTGGTACACACATACTTACGTTCCTTCTCGAAATAGATCAGTGCCAGGAATCATGTTGTAGGTAAAACATACACCTTCTTCGGTTAAAACGCTCTGAAACTGTGCCTTTGTTCCAAGAGTGTCTGCATCACAGATTACGTCTTCTTTGTTAAGAGCATGCTGTGAAAAAGAGCTTTAATGAAAACTAGAGAAAAAATTTTGCGTTGCTAAGACTGAAATTTATTTACGAACATTTTCTATTATGTTTGCAGTTGCATTATCTACTATTTCTCCCATGTCTTCTTCCGCAATTGATACCGTGCATACCATTTGCAATTTAAGGAAGATATTCATTCTGAAAAGAAAAATAAATAGAGTTTGAAGTTTACTCGGTATAGAGTTCAAATCACACTATTTGTCACATAACTAAACAATTTCATGCATTCTAATGGTAATTTAGCTACCTAAGCGAGCTAAAGCTCAACACCTTTGAAAACTCTCTGGATTACGCATGCGTGAAAAGCAGCAGAGAAGCTCCCCGCTCCTCGTTTATCTTCTGCACCTGAGGAGAAGTATTTCCGTTACAACCGCCAACGGAAAGAGAGCTAGATTTCTCAAGACTGTTGTAGACTACGAAACTGCGAAGACAGTGTCACCGTTTCAGACAATTCCTTTCATTTGTCACTCTTATGCAAATGAAGGAGCGAATAAGATTTCGGTGTATCGTACCTGCAGGAGGAACTATGCTACACCCGGTCAGAAGAGAGGGGAGGATTAGGGTAAGTCCAGCCCTTAGTTTTTTCAAAGTTGTTGAGCTAAAAGTGAATAATTGACAACAAAACGTACAAAATACTTTTTCATGGTACGTACTGTCTGTGATCAAGTTGGCCTCTATGATACATATTAACGAATCTCGTGTAGTTTAGTCCCTTTGATTTGGCCTTCGGACAGATAGTCACTGCAGGGAAGGGGATCTGCCATATGTTACGCTGAGTTTCGTCTGTGGTACTGATGACTGGCGATTGCACCCATCGACTGTACGTGTCATACATGAGCCATGAACATGCCACCAGAGCTATGCTCAGCCCTATGAACCATAGCACCCTGCACCAATTATTATTATTATTATTATTATTATTATTATTATTATTATTATTATTATTATACCCTTTCAATCATTCATTTGCAAAAGGTCTCTTTTATACATTGAATTCTAAGAAACCTCTCGAGTCACCTGAAGAGTCTCTATAGCAGGATTTTAATAGCATACGCTGCACAGTCTTTGAATTATTTTCGATGGTAATATGCCATGCCTTGCATTTGCTCCTGATAATTTCTTCATAGCATAATCTATAAAATTCCACAGTGTTCACCTTAAATCTGTATAATGCACATTTATGAGGTTTTGTGTCTATGGCGACTTATAAATCGTAATCTTTCCTTAAAAGAGATAGTAACCCCGTCTCTAAGACTATTGTTCATTTATTTGGAATATTACGATCGGATTAATACGAATTTTGCCAGCTAGCGGTTTTCCCAGACCTAGCCTTTTTTAAATTTATTATCACCATGTCGGGGTAAGGGGACATGTTGCGACCATTACCATATCTAGCTTATTTGGTATGCCTTACCTTTCTTTCGTCACACAACTATAGACCCTGAGACGATTTGCATAAGAAAGCTACGTCTTCATTTTTGATCCCGTCGGGAATCGAACCCAGGCCTCACAGAAAGATAATACGCTGGCCATAAGCCATCCGAGGAGCTCTGTATGATAATTATCATATCTAAAATTTAGTGGGACTTCCTTCTCCGTAATGAAACTGAATTCTTTCAGACAGAAAATTTTCTTGAGAATTCTCTTGCATTATTGCTCGTGCATCAGATTACTATAACGAAAAAAAATGATGGAAAGTTATTTTGTAAACTCTATTTCGGAAGAGCAAATGAACATTGAGATTTGTGACTTCAAAATCTTGTGAGTTGGATGAAGAAATTTGTAACATGTTATCTCCGTTAGATATTGCTAGTAAAGAAAAAATATTCTAAAATGCGAAAAAAGCAAGGATCAATGTTACATTTGATACTTGTTAACGGAGTGAAGCGGGGTCAATTTACATCGATCGTTCCGCATTTTGTCTGTAATTATTTTGCTACACAGGCCCGTCAAAATTATTTGATTACCTTCAAAACGACGTATGTAGAAGGGCTTCAAATATTTTTATTATATTGCTAGATAGTGGCGTTTTTAATGTTTTTTAATAATATTCATCTTTTTTGAACTTCCGAATATCTACCCCTAATTTATGCATACAAAAATTCATATTGCCGCGTTATCATAATTCATCAATAATTTTTTTTACCGTTCGAACTCTTCAGTTTATCCGGATCTCACCTCTCTGGCCAAGGTCTTCTTGGCTCTGTCAAGTATCGCAGCCCATGGACAGTAGTTTTATCAAAATATCCTATGTAGTTGTCCCGTAATTCTTCTTTGCACTCCTTCACCAAGTTTGGGTTTGGCTTTAAACTAAAAAGGTATAACAAATATCTTGAAATAAGTAACATAATGTGAATTACATTGATATAACTGTTTCAAAACATTAATTAATTAGTAACATTTTCAGTTAAAATATTTTACATACCATTAAGAAATAAAGTTAAATTTTTATTAAATGAGTGAGAAATAAGTAAGGAATCATCTTTGAGAAAAGTACATTTTCGTTTATACTTATAAGAAAAGCAACAAGTATACAACGAGACAGTGGTTGTCATTTGTTTTCTTTTCGATATGTAAAACCTAGAGTTGTCACTTCATGACTTAAAAATATTTTCTGTCTCTTTCTGGGAGAACAATATTAACATTTTTTCATAAATCAGACAGATAAAATGATGGTTGTCATCAGATAGATACTAATTATTTATTTCTAAGAACTGAATTCTCCAATAATAATTTCATTAGTGTTACATTGGCTGCTGAGGTCATCAGTGACTAATAAAAATTACAGTGAAAAGAACCAGCAACAAACGTACCAGCACAAACCGTGACTTTACATTGTTATGCAAGGTTAAACTTTAACTATTATATTGAGTAATAAAGTGGATAAATGGATAAATCTTGTTCCTATATACAGTAAATTATTTCTAACACGTTGTGAAGTCCGAATCCGTTTTGTGGGTCGATGTTACAGAAATATCGATTGACGCAAAACGTTTGTCTGCCCGTCTGCCGCTCTGCCCGCCTGCCCTTTTCCTCCCCATCTGCCCGTTTACCCGCCTGTAACGGCAAGTAACGGCTAGCCGACGAGCCCCCAGCCCGAGGGGGGGTGTATAAAGTGGCCCCTCGGCGAGGAATCGGCAGTTGTATTCTGGCGAGACGTGGAGTGCAAGCTGCATAGTGATTTGAGTGACGACAACGCGATAGTGCTACGGACTTCTCTCCTGGACATTTCGACCACGGCGTTCGTGATCTGGGACTTCTTGGCTTAGGTGATTCGGCTTTTCTCTGGTACATCTCCCAGCATTTTTGGAAACTGCTGTTTTGTATATTGTACACTCTTGTAAGATAACGACTGTGAATAAAACCTCTTTTTACGAACTTTTTTTTGTTACTGTACGTGTCAGGTATTTTTATTTCATCATTGGCGTGGGAAACATGATTAATAGAATATCAAAATAGAAATTTGCTACGATTTGCTTTGTAAAAAAACCATGCCTGAAATCATAAGTCCACTATGCCTAGTTTCGGCTGATCTTTTTTGCAGTGGGAAATATTTGCAGCACTTCAAACCAGAAATGAGTATTATTTTATTGATTAACCCGGAATATGGTTGTATAGTAAATTGGTCAAAAAAAGCCATCACAAGATTAAATTACATTACATTTCATAGATCGTTCGCTTTCAATTACTGCAAAACTGCTTTCAAGCGTTCATAGGTCAGGTCAAAATCTCTTTCAGGTTTCTTTTTATTGAATGATTCGATTATAGATTTCTCAAACCCAATGATTAATTCGTTTCGCACAGTCGTGAAAAGCACTGCAGATAGGAAGACGGAAGACTGCACACCAGAAGTCCGTTCTTGTTTGGTCGATTGATTAATTGACTCTTTATTTGAGTTTCCGGGCAAGTCAACTACTTTTATCCTTTGTCCCGTAAGTGTTGTGTATGTTGTATTCTGCACGGTAGCAGGATCCTCCGGTAAAACGAGATACTCCATCTGGTGTCGGCTTGTGGGTTTTTCTCTGCCAGTTGTCTCCACATGCTGGACACCGTTCTCACCGAGTCTTGATGTAAATTCCCGACAAGTCTCCTGACATGTCTGGCAACTTGGCATATGTAAGTGTATGCGTGTGTGTGTGTAGGAGTATAGGATAGGGACAAGGCTGTAGAGAATGTGAAACGGGCGTATCTATTTGTTAGAATATTGCTCCGGGATTCGCCTGCTGTGGATCGGATGAATCATGGAAAAGTACCGATTAGAGCAGCCATTCGCTAGAATTATCCCCATTTTTATAGTGATTGAATTCGACTTAGCTATGTGCCAACGTCAAAAATCCACCACTCTCGGGACCCCAATCCTTGGCCTTGCGGTGAGCGACGCTGTGGAGGTAATGGAAATGGTGCCTCTGAGTCGTGGCCGCTTGTTCGGTCGGTCATGAACAACTCAACCAGTACTTAAATTGCACTCTTGACTTCGAGAACAAGAAGAGATATAGCGCTACACGAAAATATCTTGTTTCATTCTTTACCTTCAAACCAACTACTCTAAATACTAGTTAATTACAGTATCACATCTTAAAAATACTCCTGGGAAATTTAAGTTACCAACGGTTATTTGGAGCAAAAAATATGGAAATATTAAAAATGTTACAAAATTTTATCATTTGGTTTATGGAGATAATCTTGTACGAAAAATGGATGATGTCTGAGAAATTAAACAAAATTTAAGAAAATTTTTTTTACAAATATTGCTTGAAAAAAGTGTTTCCAGGCAAAAGTATCATCGGAAACTCTGATGCTGATCAATGACCCAAGCAATATATAGAAACCATATATCAAAATTTCCCCAAAAGTTTCCCTTATTTTCTATCTTTGACTTGACTATATCGTCTTGGGTATTTGTTTGTGGCGATTGTATTTGTTACTGGTGTTCAATTTTCGTAGTTAATATGTCAAATAGTCAAAAGCACATTCGCAAACGAATGGAACAAAAACGAGATGTGTACATACCTTTGTATCACCATGGCTCACGAGCGTCTACTAGCAACTTGCCCACTACGCTTCCGCGGATGGCTTATCGCGAAGATGTGGTCCCCGCCAGGGCGAACTGGAAAAGGTGCGGCCCGAAGGAGTGCGTGCGTTCGTGCGTAGACGCAATCCGGTTGCTATTTTTCGTGACAGTTAGGTAAACGTGTGCTCCAATGTCTACTTAAACAGGAAGGAAGTGCCTACAGTTTCCCTTCCTTATTTCAAAATTGAAACTTTTCTCTTTATTTGCAGCCATTCCTGTTACGTATTTGAAATAATTTTACTTTGTCAGAAGTTAGGATTGCTCAAAAGATAACCCAAAAGGGAGTGACGGTTTGTGATACTTTTTGTTTGTGGTTGAAGTTATGGCCCATAAAACTGAAGAACTGAAATAGAACCCCAAATTGGCTAATGCATGTTGCCGGCGAGAACCAATGTTTAGGAAGGTATAAACTAATAGTTGTACGATAGATACAAAAAATTAGATTTACATTAAAATAATTGGTTTAAAATAACCTGCAATTGAATTTGATAATAGATTAAACGAATAGACGTAGTGATAGTTCAAACTTGCAACTGAGCAAGAAACATTCTCTGTGGAAGTGTTTAAGTTAAAGAGTTAGTCAACTTACTAGTACCTTGTCCTTTGATCATTCAAGTTTCATGGGCACATAATTAATTGCTCAGAACCATTTATATGCACGGTGTAGGATATGAACACTGCATGATTAAGGAAAGTGATTTTATTTTCTCTTTCTTCATAATTTATTTATTTTCGTTCGACATTTCTATCTCTCGAGGGTTTGAAAACAGAACATTTTATATTATAAGGTTTTGGATATATCCATCCATAGCGAAAGATTATTTATTCCTACTCGTGAACATGGTCTAAGGTTTGAAGTTTTGTTCAGGCTTCAAAGTTGGGTGTGAGGTTCCATGTTGAAGTTAAGTTCGTGCTATGAATGGTGTAAAAGAAAACAGACGTTACAGTGATCTCGGCCTATCCTTGGGAAACCTAGATAATACGGGGCCATGAAGCACGGCAGCCCAGACTAAATGTTGTGGAACAGGATGAAGAGTAAACATTTTGATAGAAATGGTCAGCTATTTCGCTTATCTGCTCTTTAATGGCACTATATGTAGCTCGCGATGAATTTGGAAATTTGGAATAAACCAGGGTGCCTTGAGTCTTTCTTAGGAACTTATTTTAAAATGCCACTGGACATGCATATGTTAGAGTGGGTTGAATAATTGATTTTTACAGTAACATTCCGCTTTCGATACTAGTGGTAGATCTAGAGTTAATTAAAGGAAACATTTTTTTACGTTTAGGCTAGAGCTTTTGTAATAGTTGCGTGGATGTGAGGTTTCCACGTTAGTATTTGATCAAACAAAAATCATAGGTTTTTCACAAGTGAAGACATCCACGGGATGTGATTTCCACTGATGTTAAGTTGGGGTGATTTTTCGGTTGGCGAAATGTGAATATCTTTGCTAGGCATTTAGAATGGTTTAAAACTTTAATCTCCGTGTATGACATCATTTAAAATAATTGTGTAGATAGTTTTGAATATTCTCCTTCGCTCTTATGATATCACTGTCAGAGGTGATTAGTGCAATGAGATCTGCGTATAAAGCGAAGTTGGAGTCGCCTTGGCTTGAAATGTCATGGCTGAAAATTTTAAATAGTAAGGGAGAGAAAACTGAACTCTGTGGTACTCCTGTGGCAATAGTGTTTGGGGGGGAGGGGGGTTGACGTGTCTGTGTTGACTTTAACTACAAACGATCTGGGCGTAAGGAAACTTTCCGTGATTTAGTAGATATTCGGGTATACCCAAAGTTTGAATTGTGTAGAGGAGGCCTTGGTGCCAAACTCTGTTATAGGTCTGATTTACTTCGAGGAAGGCTCGCGGGGTCCGCTGATAACGGAGGTGAAATCTGTTCATGTTTCAGTTTCAAGTGTAAGATTGATATGTATTCAATAAATTAAAAAATTATGATTCGAAACTAGAATGAGAAAGTGTGTTGTTTACGAAATTGATTGAAAGCTATTACTAACGGAATTTGGCAGTGTGGTTCTGTAGATTGTTGTCCACTTAAGCTGATACTGTTTAATACAATCAGTAGACTATACTTTACCGTAGATAAGTAAATGATATTAACTGAAAATTTGTCTTGAAAACATAGAATAAATTAAATTTGGAACACAAATTCAAAACTGTTCGATATATCGTCCTCGTAAACTTCAAATCAAATGAATCGTCACTGGTCACAGAAGTATAAGTAACCTTACTTTAGTGTCTCAAATCCAAAACAAGATGTTTTCATTGGATTGTTTTAATTTGGATAGACGCCATCTTACGAGACGGACACATCTGGTTGTGCTCTTAAGTTTTTGTCACT